CACATTTTGTGACCTCAGTCAAAATGAAATTTTGATATTCTTACATGACCTTTTAGTGACAACAAAAATGAAACACTCGTTGAACAGATGTAGAACATTCGAGCAACTTGTAAATTTATGCAATTTTTAGTTATAGATTACTGACTAATTCGAAGTTCCTAATGATAGTCCTTGGATTCAAGTTTCACTTGTAATCACCAACATTGAGGTATAAATTCATTTTGATGTTAAGCCATTACGAACAGACGGAAAGTTACTCTTCAGTTCTACTACTAGTTATTATCCAAAATAATTATGATCAACATGTTAAACGATCTTTATAGAAACAATTCAGAATTTTACACCGAATATAAATAAAACTGCTTTAATTTGACTTGGTTCTCATTAATTTTGTTCTCAATAATTATAATCACGATTCTTAAATTTCTTGTTAACTGAATAAGTAACAGATGCATTTATTTGGATACAGAGAGATTTGTCTTTAGAAATCATTCCTAGTATGCACAATGCGAGTAAATTGTTGAAATTTTGACTTACGGATTAATTGTAAAAATTGATATTCTCTATTGTCGATACAACATACTAATGGCTTTGTCATCGTATGTAGGTACTGCTATTCATTCGACACCAACTATTATACATCGTATAATTTATACGTTAGATTTTCTGACTAACTTTCAAGCTTGACTGACTGAAGCAAATGTTCACTGAAGATTAGACAGTATGTCACCAATCATTAATCTATTCGCTTATGCATAATGACATGGGATAGTTTACTCAAGAGGTGATTTACTTTGATTGTAACTTATTGATTCATTTTGGTGATGAGTGACTTAATTCTTCTTTTGGTTTCATTTTGTTTGGGAAAAATACTTAGTTTTTTCTTTTCAGTGAGCTTCCTTTTCATTTTAATTAGAGACTGTATTAGTAAAATCAGTGTTTATGTGGACAGAAATATTTTGTTCATTGTTCAATGAATTGAGAAATGCACACTAAATCCTTATTATGTAAGGAAAATATCTAATTAAAAATTATTATTATTATATTTTTCTTAATTTCTTCTCTATTATTTTTCTGTGTGTAATGTATGTTGAAAATCAACTAGCGAAAAGATAAGTAACTAAATAATAGGCTAGGAATGATGATAATGTTGCTCGTCCAAGTCATAGTTCTGAGGATATCCAAGTCCATTATTTATGAGCTCCTAAAAAGTGTTGTCCATTAAATAAACTTTCACCTTAAGTTTAATATCTGGAACAACACAGGTGTTTTCGGGTTTTGAATATACATTTATTCATTTCGGATATTTAATGTCTAATTTTTAATCAGAAAGTTTTCATTGTTGTCCATGACCATGTTATCAGTGTTCAGTAATACTATGGAAGTAGGTAAAACTAATTATTCTACGTTAGAGTATACAACATCATTGAATGATCCTTTCCTAATATTTTGCCATCGTAGAATACCATTAAAATACTGGTCGTGTATTAGTTAAGTCGATCATCAAAACTTACCTATACTTCCCTTTATCATTTCATCACTCAATATGCCTTTAACAACCTACTTTTCCCGTAAGAATTAACTGCAAAATCTCCGCCCTCTAGGGGATTCTGCTGCTGGTTCCAAGCCCAGGTAAAGGAGCGGGGTTGCACATGGAGTTAGCGATCCCATCTCGTGAAAAAACTAACTCGCTAAAAACGCGCTAACCAGAAAAATCAACTTAAACCATTTAAACTCTGCCCTGGATGTTTGAAGGTCTGCATTCAGACAAGTTATGACGCCTCATGATGAGAGCCGAATTCCCTCAGATGTCACGAGGCCGATGCCCTTTCTAAAAACCAGAGCACTCATTCTTTTGGGTACAGGGAATGTTCGAACAATGTGGAAGACCAGAAGAGTATTCAAACTTACTGCAGATATGAAAAGATACAATCTGGAGGTGCTTGGAATCAATGAAACGTATTGGACACAGGTTGGACAACTTAGAATGGCTTCAGGAGAGCGGTTGTTATAATCGAACCATGAAAAAGAAAATGCTCCATATACACAAGGGGTTGTACTGATGCTATCCAAAGAAACAAATAATGCATAAATACAATGGAAATCTCAGGGAGCAAGGATCAAAGCATCTTTTAAAACAAAGTAACAGGGCATTGCAGTGAACTCCTACCAAAGATTACGATGGAAACATTAAGGACCAATTCTATGAGAGGCTGCAGTCAATCGTTGAGAGTCGATCAACAAAGTACTTGACATTTTTTTATGAGAGACCTTAATGCCAAGGTTGGCATAGACAACACTGGATATAAAGACATCATTGGAAGATATGGACTGAGAGTAAACATCCAAAATGATGAGAGATTTGCAGACGATTTTGTCTTCATCGGTCATCGGCGGTACAATATTCCTACACAAACACACACACAAAGCTAAATGGATTTCACCAGATCACACTACTCAGAACCAAAATGACCATATCTGTATCAATAAAAATTGAAGATGGACCATGCAGGAAGTGAGAACACAGAGAGAAGCTGATATAGCCTCAGACCACCACTTGCTTGCTGCCAAGATGAAATCTACACTCAAGAAGCACTGAATACGAGGTGGGCAACATTACAAAAGTCTAATACGGCCTTTCTTCGGGATAGTGACAAACTCAAGATAGTCATCAGCAAAGGGTTCCAGGCATTTCACTATCTACTCAACGGAAAGGAAACTACCATGGAGAACAAATGGAAAGAGACAGAGGAAGCAATCACCTCGAAATGTCATAAGGTTTGGAGCCACAAGAAGCACCACCTTAAGGAATGGATCTCTGTTGATACAAAGGACAAGATTCAAGAATGAAGGAACAAGAAAGAAGCAATCAACATCAGCCAAACAAGATCAGAGAAAGCCAACGCACAAGCTGAGTACACAGAAGCACCCTAGCAAGTGAAGAGGAGCATCAGAGCCGACAAACGAAATTTGTGGAAGATCTAGCAATGATGACCTAAATGACTGCAAGAGAGGAGAACATGACATAACTGGATGACAAAACGAAGAAGTTCCCTGGAAACTATCATAAACCAGAACAACCAGTGAAAAGGAAGGAAGGCAAAGTAACCAGCAATATTGGAGATCATTGAAATAGCCCCACTGAACCCACCCAACATCGAAGCAGCATCCACGGACCACCCAATCAATGTTGGCCCACCAAAAATTGAAGAGATCAGCATCGCCAGCAGAGAAATCAAGAGTGGTAAAGCAGCGGGACCAGACAACATTCCAGGAGACGCAATGAAAGCAGATGTGGAAGCCGACTGCAAAAATATTCTACATTCTCTTCAACAAGATTTGGTATGAGGAGCAAGTACCATCAGTCTAGGAAGAAGGATACCTCATCAAAATACCAAAGAAAGGTAATCTCAGCAAGTGTGAGAACTACAGAGACATCAATCTTCTCTCAATACCAGGCAATGTCTTCAACAGTGTGTTGTTAAACAGAATGAAAGACTTTGTGAACGCCCCTCTTCGAGAGATCAGCAGACTGGATTTCATAAGGATCGATCGTGTAATGACCAAACTGCAAGATTACGCATCATTGTGGAACAATCAATTGAAAGGAACTCACCACTCTACATCAACTTCTTCGACACTTCGGCATGCCTGAAAAGATAGCCAATATCATACGGGATTCTTACGATGGGTTAAACTGCGAAATCATGCATGGGGACCGCTCACAGACTCGTTCGAAGTGAAGACCGGTGTCAGGCAAGGTTACTTACTCTCACGCTTCCTGTTTCTCCTGGTGATCGACTGGATTATGAAGACATCAACATATGGAGGGAAGCACGGTATACAGTCGACAACCAGGATTCAGCTGGACGATTTTGACTTCTCAGATGATCTAGCTCTTCCATCGCACACGCAACAACAAATGCAAGAGAAGACGACCAGTGTAGCAGCAGCCTCTGCAACAGTAGGTCTCAACATACATAAAGGGAAAAGCAAGATTCTCCGACACAACAAAACATGTACCAGCCAAATCACTCTTGATAGTGATGCCTCGGAAGACGTAAAAACCTTTACATATCTAGGCAGCATCATTGACAGTCAAGGTGCATCTGATGCAGATGTGAGGGCGTGGATCGGCAAAGCATGATCTACATTTCTACGACTGGACAACATTTGGAACTCAAAACAACTGTCAACAAACACCAAAGTCAGAATTTTCAATACAAATGCCAAGACAATTCTACTGCATGGGATAAAAACTTGAGGAATTATGAAAGCCAGCATCCAGAAGATACAAGTATTCCTTAACAGTTGTCTATGCAAAATATTTCGGATCCGTTAGCCAGACACTATCAGCAACAGCCTACTGTGAGAGAGAACAAACCAGATTCCAGTGGAAGAGGCAATCAGGAAGAAGTGGTGGAAGTGGATAGAGCATACATTGCGGAAAGTATCCCAACTGCGTCACAAGACAAGCCCTCACTTGCAACCCTCAAGGTTAGTGGAAAAAAGAAGAATAAGACGGAGCACATTACGCCAAGAAATTGATACCGACATGAGAAGAATGAAGGACAGTTGCATAAAACTGTAAAGGAAGGCCCATGACAGATTAGGTTAGAGAATGCGGGTCTCCCGTCTATACTTCGTTGGGATTAACAGGCGTAAGTAAGTAATTTTTAGCATAAGAAGTAGTGATAGCCTAGTTCTACCTTTTTTCAATGTTAACGAATAAAATATTTGACTTATTAGTACTGTTGTTATGTTATTATGAAATTAAATATTAGTTAAGTACAACGTGATCATTTAAAAATTATTATTTCATTTATTCTTTTCCCTACAAGTAGAATATTGATCGTGTTATGAGCCGAAAGTTATTCACTCATCATAATCCATTACTGTCTGTTTGTCTATCCATCTGATCTAATGATTGGTGTATCAAAATTTAAACATGAAACTAAAGTTGTGATAGGTTTATTGTATTATGTCCAGAAGCAATAGGAGTTTATTATTGCATTAAAACCTTAAGTTGTTTTATAGATTTAAAAAGATATGCGAATATAAATTTCGACCAAATCCAGTAACTTATGCAACTGAGAAAGATATCAATAGAAATTTCTCTAATCACTACATGTAAAAAAATATTCACTGAGACACTCACTGATTTGGTCTGAATAAATTTACTAGCTTATAAATATAATAATTTTTCCACAGTTGAACATTCCATCAACTTTGATAGCAAGAAATTATTCTTCTGGTTAATTTAATTTGCAAAAGTGTTATATATTTAATCGGATATTTATCAAATTCATTCCATTACTAATTAATTGAACTGAACTGAACTGAATAATTACGGAATGACTGACCATAATCAATATGGTAATAACCAAAAACATTCACTTGAAGATGGCAATTGTACAAAAGATGATTGTATAGCTTTTAGTACTGTAGGAGAAAATCGTACATCTAATGCTGGTATTCTTATTGATAATGAACGTAAAAATGGTCGCAATTCATTTCATTTGTGGAATTTACATAAATATGATCATGTAGGAGTTTGGCGACCTCACAACAGATCAGGAATTTTTCTAATAATTGCATTGATATTAATTCTGATTTTATTGATTATATTCATTGCGTTATGGGCAATTCAACTGGTGATTAACTTAAGTAAGTGAACGAATTCATTTTTAATATTTACGTGAATATTTTGTACACATGATATTTGTCTCTAATGCTTAATAATTGTCATACTAACAGGTCTTATTGGCATTCAGTAGTATGTGTAGGTTGAAAATATGTAGAATACGCTAACCTAATTGTATAGCTATATATAAGTCTCGACATATACTCGACTTTGTACGACACTTTGTATGAGGGACAATGTTATCGTACTGCTCAAACCAAAGTATGCGGGTTAGTATCTCTATCGCCTACCAGTTAGTTCGAAGTCAACTGCTATCACTGAACGTAACAGTTACGCATACTATATAACTTTTAATGAAGTAAAAGTATGGTAGTCTATCTAGAGTGACTTTAACCAACGATTATTTTCTACACTGCAGTTGATAAAATCCTTTACATTCAACAGATTATTCATGCCTCTATCAAGCATTCACACTTTTAACTTAGGACGAATTAAACAAAGTCTGAAATTACTTCAGCTCGATTCCATGCTACTAATTGTTTCAATCTAACTTTATGAACTTTAAAACTGTTTGCAATTCACAGTGTAAGTTTTTCATTATGTTTAAAAACCTCTATATTTCTATTTGTGACTAACTTAGCATCTGTAAGTAGTTGCTTTTATTTCAAACACATTTTACATAATCATAATCATTTTGGACAATGCAATCGGAATAGTATTTGATTTATCACAGCATGTAAACATGATTATCAATCGGGTTGATTAATTTTTCAAAGTGCTAATTTACTTATGTTTTTTACAATAAAGTTCCTTTTCTAGATTACTGGTCATCAGTTTCACTGTACTAATATTATTATGCTTATTCTTTTTAATACAACTCTGTGAATAGTACTTTTAATTTTCTCACTAATAATTAATTAATAATTACTTGGATTCTATCAAACCTTAACAGCATTTGTTTACATGAATTGATGGAATGCTTTATTGTTGGTAATGTGAAAATCTTGTACTTGCCTAATTCATTAGTTTGATTTGTTGGTATACTTTATTTAAAATAATTCCACATTAGCACTGAGAAAAACTCAAACACGAACACTAGTAAACGTGAATTTTGATGAGTAAATTTCTTATTTCTTTATTCTGGGCTCTGGATTGAAAATGGCTGATTGATAAAAGCTATTCGATTCTTACTGACAGGCATATAAGTGTCTGCATAAATGCCTGATCTTCCGTCTCTTTTTTGTTCAAATCCCAGAGGTAGGTGCTACATTGGTGGGGTACTTATTTTTTTCCAGTTGGGTGTTTTTACAGAGCTGCTCCTTCAAGTCGTCTACAGAATTTCGGGCTTACAAGTATCACTACTTGATTGTCGCTTCATAGTCTGATATCAGAAAATATATGTCTTACTTTAGATATTTTCTGTGATATCTAGTTGAATTTTGTACATCATTTAATAAAAGTCTTATTTTAACTGGACATCACATACTGAATAATCGCCTTATTAAATATTTTACATCTTTCAACGTATCACTATTAATTAAAAAAACATTTTATCATTATAATATCATGTTTGATAATCAGTGCTGTTGTAAAAGTATTTATGACAAGTAGGTGAACAACATACTGTACATGTATTCATAATTAGAATGATGAAAATCATTTAAAAAAAACATGTAAGGAATGTGAAAATAGTGCTTTTTGTATTTTTAATTCAAATCATTACAACCCGTGATTATTGATTGTCTGAGTTAAATTTACACTTGTTTAAATCAATCAATAGTAATAATTTCCCAAGTTAAATGTAAATGGCTTTTTTGTCGGGCTCATTTAAATAATGACAGAATTAGAATTTTGAAAAACAAATCATATAAGCATGAAAAAAATGTCAAAGAAATAGAAAATTAATGTTTTTTTTGAAAAAAATGTTATGTTGGTCAATTCAGTGCATGGATGACGTCAACTTACATTAGGATATTAAAGAATAACCTCGTAATATCTTCTTGGCCTACATATATTGTTTACAAACAGAGTTTAAAACTTTTTAAAAATATACAGTTTTCGTTAAAAATCGATCAGTTAGGTCACGCTTGACAAACGAACAGTAATCTAGTGTATTCTTTTCTTTTAACTACTATCACCTTACCACATGAATGAATGATTATTAACCTCTCGATGTGATTAATGTCGGGATAAGATTAATCACATCAAATTTCATTTGTGTTATAAACAAGTCTGACAAGTTTTCTTAAACCTATTTTGAACTATCTATGGTTAATTAAACTGTGAGTACATGTTGCATGAATTGTAGCAAATATTTTGTTTTTCATTCAGTAATTGTTACATTTAAGAAATAAACTAACAGGTTAATTTCATTACTTACTTGGTTAATTCATCCGGTAAACTAAATTCTTTGTGTTACCTTGCGACTTTATTTTATAGAATAAGAAAGTCTTATTATTCTCTTGTCTACAATGTGCATTGAATAGATTTTTTATGATTGTTTAACAGAATATTAACAGATTATATCAATGAATAGATGAAAATATATTTCAGAATTGATATGACATAACAAAATCGAGTCATTGAATGACAATCAAATAGAAGAATTCATTGAAACATTAATACATGTAATTTGTTTCAGTTGTATTATGTTTCAGAAAATATAACTACTATATTAAATAATTGTACAGAGAAATAAAGAATACTGAACGTTAGCAGTTATTGAAATGGCTGCTTTAACTTGATTAGTTATCTTCCATGTTGGTTAAAAATTATTTCTTTATTTTATCAATTCGTTGGAAATTGGGATCGAACTGGGAATCTATTTGCTTTAGTTTCGAACATCATAGGACATTTGTATTATTGACTCTTCTAAAGACTAAACACGAACCTTTTACACTGTAAACTGAACCTGCTGACTGAGAAGTCAATGATGTACATTTTTAAAGCCATTTAATTGTGATATAGTGCAATAACTATCTGATATTATTGGAGAAAACAGCTTCAGATCAAACTTGGCATGGTGTTTGTACCATGAATTCGCCGTGTTCGGGATAGGTGTTCTTCTCACTGAGCATGTGTAATACTTTAAAAAAACATTAAGTTTTTAACTGAATTACTTAACACTTTAAAACGTTTACAACCAAATAACTGAAAGAACATATTCAAAACAACTAATCTGTTCAAGAAATACATCTTTCCAGTTAGTACAACATCATAGCTCCAAAATAATACATTTATCTCACGAAAACGACAATTAAATATATGCCAGTCAGACGCTGGTTACATAGTTAACAATGTTTATGCACTTAAACGTGTCTGTAGATATGGAAGTGAACGAATGAGAAAATAATTCAATAATCTGACCAAACTAGTTATTTACAAATCTAGACGGTTTCTTCGTTGAACAAATTAAATTTGGTTGTCAGCAGATTATATAATATCATAAAAAGAGATGTATAGGAGTTAGTGGTGGAATCCAAGAAGCGTGCTTCGTTCTGTTTGACACTTATAAGCCGAATGTACCGGCGTTTCAGAGTTGATGTTCACTCTGAAACTTGAACCCATTACGGTTCGCTTCAAACACTATCGTACTATCCACTCAGCTACTGATTCTAAACAGCCACTGGTTTATGCAATGGGGTGAAGTTTAATTCATTTCTATTGGTGGTTTGAATCTTCCTGTTGACAGTTTAGACTACTATTGATCAGTCTCATTTGGAATACGTGCATTATATGCGGATTATCTCTATTTAGTCATTGAGTAGGATTTTAATTTTAGTCAGGCAATGATTTTATCATCAATGAAGAATGTTATTTTTATTCCTAAAACTAGCTGTACCGCTTAACTTGTAATATTTTGTGATGTAATCTTTTTATAAAGTTAACTATGTATTATTAAACGTAATCAATTTTCAATGAGTTGGATCATTTTCGATCGTTTACATGAAATAATGTTTATATTCCAGTGTGCAATTGTAAAAAGTAGGTCGGTTTGTTGCAAAACGACGAAGGGAAACCTGAAAATGATATAACCTGGCATTAATTTTTAATTTTAATAATTACTACGTAACTCAGTTGTATACCAAACTTGTAAATTATCACAAAAGCCAACAGACAACAAACACATCATTTAAGCATGTGTATGATTTATGTAATGTAGACAGTATTATGTAAACCTGAATTTATCTGTTCAACAATTCTTTAGTATCATTCATGATCGATTATGAAATTTATGACTTCAATATAATCAGTTATATATATTCACTTTCGAATCAATGGTGTACTGGGAGTTTATTTACTTAATGTTGTAACAAAGTGATTTTTATATATAAAGTAAACTTGAAACGGCCAAAACTGGGTCTTACTGAGTAGGGGAAGAAATACACTTCACTTTCTATCCTGCAAATTCAAACGAATATGCACTGATGATTTAGTAAAAGTCAAACTATTTTGATTACACCCCTAAAGGAAACCTGAAACTAAAAGTTGGATGTAAAACATCGCCGATAGCATCAAGAATATGTCTCTTCAAGAACAATACAAGAGGGAACACAATAAGGGAAATCCTGCATTACTAGTTTTTAGAATTTTTAAGTGAGATATTCTGTTTTTCTAAGCTTAGGATTATTTTCATTTGGTAAGCTTTTTTCCGTTTGTACGTTGATAATCAGCGTTTGCATTTCCATCTCCTAGCTGCCTCTAGGTGGAATAAATCGGTCTTACAAATAAGTGACTTTCTGAATTTTTCTCCAAGCAATACTCTAAATGGCTTTAAAAAAAGTTTATTTAATGAATATCAACACAATTTTTGAATATTTCGTCAATTTTAGTTAGGTTGCTTCACTGGACGTATCTTTCAAAATTATCTACACCGTAAAAAAAGTGTACTTAGGCACCAGAGAGATTTGAGGAATCGAAGTTATCAAGCCTTTTTTTAAAATACAAAGGCAGTGCGTACAAAATCTCATTCAATCAAGCCGTTGATATCTTTAATAATTTTTTAATTGTATTTATTTGATAG